ACCCTGAGAGACGCAGGTGTGTGCACAACAGGCTGGGGAAAAGGGCCCTGCTTTGTGCTCTTGCTTGCTCCTTCCTTCTCCCCAGCTCATGGATGTGTCAGTCCCAGGTAACACATTAAGCTCTATGGAGGGAGTGCTGCAGTAAATGGAGGGGAATTTGACCAGGACATGAAGAAATAGTTTCCATTTAATCCCATTCTCCTGCACGCAACTGTGGCATTAACTTTCCTGTAAAGAAAAAGTGCCTTCCAAATCCAGCACAGACACTCTGGTCACAATCTCCATTCCATGCCAGGAGAAACAGGAAGAAGTGGATTCAAGGAGACAGCAAACCAAGCATGGAAACTCAAGCTTTTGGAAGAATGTAGGGAAGTTTTCAGCTCCAGAAATGAAATCCAGAGCTGCAGGGAGGTGGCACCTGCAGAGCAGTGTGGAGAGGTGGGAACAGGGCAGTGGGCTGCCAGCATGCTGGGGAGGTCAAGCAGCACATGTTCAACCTCCGGCTCTTGCCTGGCAGTGAAAGTGACTTGTGGCTTTCCCCACAGTAACCACTTGTTTTCAAGTATTTCCAGCCTGGAAAGCTTGCCTCTAGCTTGGCTTCAACCCCAGGAAGCCAAGCAGTTTGCCAGGGGTAAGGGACCTATGTGACCCTTTGACTCTAGTGCTCAGCACATTAAGAACAAGCCCTTGTTTCACCAGCCTCACATTAAACTGGGGAGTGTGACCTCTGAGGCACTGAAAAATGAAGCCCTTGAGCCCAGAATGAAGGTGCTTGTTGGGCTGGGGTCAGGAATCACTGCTGCAGCATTTTTGTACAGCACAGCTCAGCCCATGCCTGGGCTGCAGGGCAGGGATTGCCTTGGAAGGCCAGGCCTGGGGCTGGTGTCACACACCCCATGGACACGCATTACTGTGCTTGTCAGCATCCGACCATTAGCGTCAGAGCCCTCCAGCTTCCCCTGTGATGTTGCCCTGGGCGTTCCCGCACTCTACCCTTTTCTTAAGGTTGCAAAACCCAAATTCTTGCAGAAGCATCATCTTTTCAGCCTGGGGAAGAGGGAAAACCCACATCATCTGGGAAAGGAAAACAGTGGACAAAGGGTGTTGCCCACCCTCATCCCTTTCCACATCAGCTGAGGCTGACAGAGCATAGTGGGCAGGAAGGATGTACAGACCAGCAGTCTTGTGGGGTCTGGCTCAAAGATTAGCTTTGCAGAGGAAACAGGGGCACCGTCACCAACCGCAAAAACCAGGATCAGCCCCAAAACACTGAGTCTGTGGGGCAGAGCCATGGAAGGGCAGCTGCACAGCCCAGCAAGAGCAAGGGGAGCTGGTAAGAGGAGATAGTGGCTGAGGGGGAGCGTAAGCAGAGGGATATAGGAACATCCACTTCTTGGACAAGTGCTGCAGCTCAGGAGGGACGTGGCAAGAGCTTGCGCAAGCACTCCTTCCTCCCTGCTCAGGCAGAGGGCTACAAGAGAGACACTCTCTGAGCCCCAAGTGCCAGACCCTGCCTTGGCTACTAGACATGGTGCAGGAAGGTGCAGGGCCCAGTCTGGCTCTTGATAGCAGCCTCAGTTTCTGCTCTGATCAATACAGCAGGATGGGCTGGGCCCTGCTATGAGTGCCTCTGCTTCCAGGGACAGTGGCAGTAAGGCAGATGGTGGGGCTGGCCACCCTGAGTGTGTTTGCTGCGGAGTGACATGGACAATGCCTGGCTGGTCCTTAGCAGCGAGGCGAGGAAGCCACCTCCACCCTCTCCAGCAAGGGCAAGCAGGCAGCACTGCAGGTAGGCAGCACGCATCCTTGGCAGCAAACATGCTCTTCCCAGATTAAACAACTTGTCTGGCACTGGGACAGGGAGCAGACAACTCTATTAGGGACTGTTTGTCCTGACACAGGACAGCTCCATTACTAGATTAATACCCTTCTTCTGATAACAGGCAGAGGCACACTCCATTGCAAGAGCACAAAGGGCAATGACCATGCCCTCCAACACTGGCTGAGCAAAGGCTGAGATGGCTTTAAAAATAAAGTTCCTTTCCCTTTTATCCCCCCACTTGATTATGTATCACAGTGGGGGCAGTGGGGGTTACACAGCACAGCCCCTGCTCACCTCTCTCATGCTACAGTGTCCTTCACAGTTCCTGAGTGACTTCTGTCAGCACCACACAAGGCACTTGAGCCCAGCTTGTGTTGGCTGCTCTTCCCCTGCCTGCCAAACTGGAGGGCAGCCCACGGGGAAGGGCTTTACACAGGCCCTGGACACTGGTCTGTATGCTGGGTAAGGATCACTGGCACCTTGGAGGGATGAAGCTGGCCAGACAGGTCCATGATCCATGAGGAACATGTGTCCTTTGCTGCTACATCTCACGTCCCTTGGAGATGAGGCCAGCAGGGATATTCTGCTAGAAGTAAATGACCAGTCACTCCAGTCACCCACTCACTAGGCTTCACTAGTTCGACGTAGTGCAAAGGGGCTGACAACCCACAAGCTATGTATGCTCAAGGCAGTACTGTTTTAGAGGGCAGAGAGATGCAGCAGAAAGCGCTGAAATAGTCAAACCCATGAAGGAAGGCATTATTTTCATTGATAACAGCAGAGTAAAGCAGGGCTGGTATGTGCCTGTGGAAAAGTGGTGGTAGCTTCAGGCTCGTGACAATGGCCCACCTGAGCCCGTGGCTGCCTGCAGCCTGTCTCCAGAGCCCTATGGCCACCCCAGACTGGGAATCCTTACAGCTACACACACCTTGAGAAGAGACTGCTGCAGGCAAGCATAGGTAGGGAAAGAGGCTCAGACCAGCCTTGCTCTGTGCTAGCAGCTGAGTGCTGGACCCAAGTGCACCCAGAAAAGGAAAAGAAGAAGGGGCAAAATCCAGATTGTTCAATAGCACAGCTAGGGGACTGCATAATCAAAACTGAGACAGGCAGAAGATATCTGAAGCTGGTTCAATATATATTGCATCTTTCTGCAAACCCCAGCTGTCCTATACAGCCCCAGCTCCCACACAGTCATCAGTGGGATGCCTGCAGTTCTGGATGGTGGAGTGTGTCAGGGGAGCCCTTGCACACAGCCAGCTGATGCAAGGAGACCAGTTAATGTAATCACTGCACCAGGTGCAAGAGGCCCTACAGCAAAGCATTTGTGATCATGGAGTAACCAAAAAAGGGTTAATCTGTAATAACCAGGAGAACATGCTAAGCGAAAACAAAGCAAGTGTTTCATGAAGAGGCAGGGGACAGGTTGTGGCGGTGCATGTGAGCTTTCCCATCAGTGCAGCAGCCAAAGGAATGCAGAAAAGCAGGGAGATGCTAACGGGACCCAGAGGCTGGTGCTGAGCTGGGAGCACAGACCAGCACAGACATGGCAAAGAAGAGAAGCGAATGAGTAGTCACCTCTGATATAAAAAGCAGGAAGCGCTTGAGAAGAGCTGTGGAAAAGGCACACAACCAGAACCTTTGGTTCTGGCAGTCCACACTTTGTCAGGCCCCTCAACACATACCCAGACAAGTTCCAGGGATGAGTTTTCTCAGAGAATCAGCTTGAGCAGAAGAGACATCAATGAACTGGTCCAGTAACTCCAAATTTGACTCTTGCCTTTTGTGAAAAATGCAGCTACAGAAAGCGAAGACCGAACTTGCACAAGCTCCTTAAATGGCAAGATATAAAACCCTACTGGTGTTTACTGGCTCAACTCTCTCAGAGTCCTTCTCCCAGACAAAGCTGGAGACTGAGCTCACTCCCACTTAAGATGTGAGATCCCCAAAAGAACAGAGAGCAGCAGCCATATGCTGATGGAGGAAGAGGAGAGAAAGTGGAATGAATTGTGGCATCTGCCCCCAGACAGTACAGATCTTATCAATCGAGTCTATAGAAGGCTAGATAAAAATATCAGCCACTGTGGGCCTTCAGCAACTCAACTGCCTCTAGAAGTGACAGAAGAACATCCAATAGTACAGTGACCCCAAGAAAGAGTGGCCTTCAGACTCAGGATGGAAACTGAACTTCCTGCTCTCCTAAGGCTCTAAGGATGGCATAGATGGGTTTGAGCAGGAACGGAAACTTTATTGCATCTTTTCAGGGAAGCAGAAGGATGCAATGGGGCCAAGTCCCTGCTGTTTTCTCGATGACAGAAACTGAAGCCACAGACACCAATTTTGGGCATGTGGAAAGTTTAAATGTCATAGAGACTACTGTGAATAGCTGCCATATTCAGTATCCAAAGAAAGCAAGGCATCAGGTCACTGAATGTCAAATGCATGTCTTTATAAAAATCAAGATCACATCAATATAAAATACAGATTTGTCACTAAGGATTGAACAGTCAGAAAGCTTGAAGCTGTGAACATTCATAGGAAAACAGAGATGCTGTCCTGGGAAAAGTTACCATCAGTAAAGGTCCCTACTTAGGGTATCAGCTCCATTTCTGCCCATCCCCACAGAGAGCTCCAACAGCATCAAAATACCACACATAGTATCTATCTTTGCTCTTCACTGGGCAGGGGCAGACACTATGACATAGCAAAGCCCTGGCCAGGCAGCAACATTTTTTGAGCTTTTTTTTAACTCTGTGCAGGAGAGACTGAGACAAGATAAAACCTGGTACAGGGAAGAACTTAGAGGCAGGCACTCCCACATCCACAACAGCTCCTGAGAGAGACAAGCCTCTGAGGGTCTGTGCAGCCAGTGAGCAGTGTGCTGGGCTGGAAGGCCACAGGTGCCCACCTAAGGGCAACTGTCAAAGGAGAACACCCCAACCAGTATCTGGTGTCAGTATAATCCTGTTGAAACCTTGTTTCTTCGTTGCTGCTTGGGAGCCAGGAAAGTGAAGAAAATTAGCCCAGCAGCCCATTCGCACCCACCCTGAACAGGAAGGGGAGAATGGCTTGAACCCAGTGAGATGTTAGGGAACCCCTGAGGCAGCAGCAAAGCTAGCATGGAAGCCCTTAGAAAGACATTCCAGCACTGCAAAAGGATGAAACAAGGAAAACATGACAATTCAATAAATATAAGCTTTTATTACAATAGAAAATAGTAAAACTCATGTTAAAATAGACTCTTGCTTTTGGACTGCTCAGAAAAAGCCTAAGCCTCGCTTATACCTGCTGGTGCCCATAAAGGCCCTGACCCTAAGCAATGAGCAACACATTTCTGTGCTGAGAAACTCGAGGCTTCTTCCTCCCAGTGACAGTGAAAGACTACAGCAGCAGATTGAGCCATGCCCCACCAGGCAGACAGGTAAGGGCTCTCTGTGGGGTTGTGTACAACATGCTTCATCCCCTTGTGCAATCAGGCTCCTGTTTGAAACAGGTAGCTTGAGGGAAACCATGGACAAGAAGGAGGGAGAGGAAAAAAAATCATCAGCATATAATGATAGCTGTCCTGAGACAGCTAAGAAGGCAGCAAATGCAGCTGCCAGAAATGGCACCTGACTGCCTTTGGGTAGCTTACGTACTATTACACAGAACACTCTCCACCTTCTCCTTCAGTGGCCAGTCCAGTGCAAATAAATGACTGTACAGTCTGAACTATCATGTGCTCCCCTCTTACTCACCAGAAAGGGCCAGGGGCAAGAGTAGAGTGGAAAGCAGAGGCCACAGAACAGCAAGGTCAGATGGGAGTGGGAGACACTTGTGCACCATTGCTGGCACAGCAGCACTTGACTCCAAGTCCTGCCTGCTTCAGTCACCAGGCTCACTCCAGTGCCTCATACACAACCTTCTGGAGCTCGATTGAGAACATCTCCTCCCAGGGCCCACGGATCCACTCCACTAGCTCTGCCAGGAGCTCAGGGCACTCTGTGCGGATGTGCCAAGTGCTCTCCAGCTTCAGTACCTGGCAGAGAGGAAAGGGAGGAAGACAAATGAGCAGACTAGCCTGACAGACACTGATCAGCCCTGAGTCACCATCCCCCAGCACAGCTGCCAGCTCCTCCTAATTCCTCTGTGACCTCCTCCTCTCCCTTTGCTGCCAGCAGTCGAGTGTCCCTTGCATGACTTGCATGCTCCCCTGATTCTGTGGTACAAGGCCCTAGGTTAGGATGGGAGATGACAGTCCCAAGACACTCTTGCAGGAACAGGATCTGAGCACAGTCAGCCCCCAGCATCCTGACCCCATGACCACCTCCTGGTTACCTCATCATAAAGCATCAGCTTGATGTCACAAGGACAGAGGCGATAGGTTATGATATTGCTAATACTGGTGATTGGCTGCTTCTCCTTCAACTGGATGTTGCTCCTAGGAAGCATTTCTGCCTCATGGTCTTCATCCAAGGAGGGCTGCACCTGCCACTGGTGACTCTCCTCCAGCAGAAATAGCATGCTTCGGGTACTCAGCAGGGTCACAGGGAAAGCAGATGTCCCTAAAAGGATATGAGGGAATAAGAAAGGCTTTGCTGAGAGCCTGAGTCACCACAGAACAAGCTTTGCTCTCCATTCCTCCTCTAGGGAAATCCTGTATAACAGCAGTAACTTGGGTGAACAACCTTATCCAGCTTCCTGACTGAAGAGGGGACCAGGCTACTGAAATGTGGCTGGGCTTGCCCAGCTTATCCAAGCTTGTTGTGGGAGCATGCATATGAAAGACCACTGCCCAGCAAGGCTTGTCCAGCTCATACCCTCAAGCGAGTTACTTGAGTCCTTTGACCTCTTAAACATTTTACTACTCCTTAGTTAAAATTTGGCAGCTGTAGCTCAAAGGCTGCCTTTTTTGGCCTGAATTTGTCTGGCTGCAGATATCTGATGGGTGGAACAAAGAGCACACACAAAGTTTAATACCGAGCTGGGATGCATCATAAATATGACAGGAAGGAAAGTAGTTTTGATAATCATTAGAGAACATAAATATAATTCAGAATTAAATATAATTTCAGTAGATGCAAATTAAAAGCACTAGAACTTGGGAGTAAGTTAGATGTGCAGTAACAGGGAACCATTAGCAAAACTGGCTGAGGTCACAGGGGATCACAAGCTGATGCAGCAGTATGTTGCTTTTCTCATCACATCTCACTCTTGGGAATTAGGAGACTAACAGAAAGGGGATGTTTAATTAATCTTGTCTGCTTGGTAAAGAGATCTCAGCTGGAACTGTGTCCAGTTTTGGGCATCATACTCTAAAAGAGGAGAAAACTGTAAAGTAAGGAAAATGCACTGTAAGTTCTCCCTCCCACATACTATTTGTTCAGCTTGAGGATACCAAAAAACATACTTCCCACAGATTCCTTCTGATCCTCACTCTCATACCTCCCCAATGGTCAATGGTGACCAGGGGTGCAAAAGCTTAGCAAATTGGTCAGAATATGATTAAGAGCTAGGTTGCTTTTTTCAGTGCCCCAAGATATGACGACACTGGAATTGTTCACTGAAGACTCAAACCCCAAGTTTAACACCTTTGTCCCTCAGCAAGACCTGGAACAAAACTTGAAGGGCTCCAGCAGGCTCCTCCTGTACTATCACCTCAGGTTCTGGACACCTACTACCGTTTTACCAAATGAAGAAGCCTTTCAGCAACTCACACAAACCAGCTGGTTTTATGACTCTGCATCTTTCCCTCATATCAGGGTAATGATCGAGTCCTCAGATAATCTCTAGCTTCTCGAGTTGTCACCAAAACTGGTGTGCAAAACCAGCTGCTCCCTAGAGCCTAGACTTCCATGTAGAAAGGACCGAGAGATTTGCTGGATGTACAGAAGCATGCTGCTATCCTACACAACCCAACACTAGAAAAGAGCCCTCACCCACGCCCCCACCCTATTTCACTGCTGGACAAAGGGCGCAGCTCTTTTCCCCCAGGCCGTACATTAAAATCACAAGCATGTAAGCAGACAGCACAACATGTGGGACATCTGGCTACTGAGATCTACTGTACCTTGGATTAGGTAGGCCAGCAGGTAGAAGAAACAACTGTCACCTGCAGCTGCAGAATCTGTGGTCTTGGAGTCCAGCAGAGGCCTGGAGGAGACACAACAGTGGGCTGATAAGGAAGCACTCTGTTTCCAGTCTAGGTTTGCCATGAACTAGCTACTGTTCCCAGTTTTCTGGCGAAGGGAACACACACATCTCTTCCAGATAATGCAAAGTCCTCCCTCTCCTGGTCCTCTCACTACCACCTTGCCATCCAGGAGCCAAATGCTTTTTCAAGTAAAAAGGCCGCCCTTTGCCTCTCGCTTTTTCTCCTTCCATTATACCCTGCTCAGGGTCCTCCAGAAGAGCTGAAGTTGCCCCACCTGGCTCAGCCCATGACTCCTTTGCCTGTTCACCCTCTGTGCAGCAGGCACTGTTTCCAGCACCCTGCCCTCCACGGTCTTCTGGATAAGCAGACATCTGTTTCTACCTGAAATCCCAACCTCTCACAGGCTCTTACCATAGCCAGTGTTGGGGATTCATTTCCACAGTGGGGATTTCCTTCACCTTACTCCTGTGCTTAGCAGGCAGTTCTTGCATGAGATCTAAAGAGGGAGAGAAGGCAGGTGTCTTTTACTACAAACCCAAGGGCAGGACATAACAGTTCAGGACAATTCTCTACTGTTCAGAGAGGTGTTGCAAGTTATGATGTCAGTCAGAGTCTCTCCCAGCTTTTTTTCTGAGCTGTCAAGAAGGTAATTTCCAACATATATCCAACAATAGCTGTCCTGATAGTTCTCCAAGAACAAATCTTTCAAATCCTCTCCCCCACCCCCTACAGCTCTACTCTTACCTGTCAGGGTCTGCAAGAACTGGTCACAGCAGCTCTGGTTCCGGATCAGCAGATTGTAGGAAGTTTTTGGATTCTCAAACTCCATTCGCAAGCTCTGGTGGCAGAGTCCCACTTCCAGATGAGAAATATCAGACAGGTAGTGTGAGTCATTCTTCTTCAGCCAGTCTGCAGGTTGTCCCCTAATCACAGGACACAGCCCTCAGCTGCAGTAGGCTGCCCCATCTCCTCTCCCATGTCACACTGCAGCAGGGGATTTGCCAGAAGAGCCTGTGCATATCACCACCCCCCAGGGTCAGGGAAGCAAGGCTAGCCCAGGCTGGCACTACCCAGCAGTCACAGACTTGCTGCAGGGTCCTCACCTGATAGCTCTGGTGACTTCCAGCACATAAATTTTGACATCAGAAGCAACCAGGATTGAGAGGAACTCTCCTTGCCGACCAAACTTCACCATGACCACCTAAAGCACACAGAGGGTGGGTCATAGCCTTGGCCTGCCCCTTGACAGCACATCAACAGAAAGGCCAGCCTCAAAGACACTTCAGCTCCCTTCATACCCCACAGCCTTTGAAATGCCACCTCAGTGCAGAACTTGCAGGGTGGCAAGAGGGACAGCCGAAGAGTTGTAGGAGTGGTGCTGTGGGAGCTTACCTTGAGGAAGCACTGGAACTCCTCAGCATTCTCCTCAAAAACTTCCATGTCCAGGTACAGCTTCAGGCGATGATCCACTGCTCGGAAGTCCCTTGTGTTCAGGACGCTGTTTACAGCTGAGGAGAGCAAAGGGCAGCAGTGACACTCTGCCCACTGACCAGGGGCTGCCCAGGCATGCAGACAGGCACCAGGGCAGCAGTGTCACCCCCTCTGCACACCTGCTTCCATCAAGTCTCTCCTCAAGACAAAGGACCAAACACAGAGCTTTACAGGCCACAGGTCTCCATGTGCAGATAAAAGAGGACTCAATTGCTTCAACACTTGCTTTTTTTTCAGATATACAAAGCTTTGGTCTAAGCCAGCTTCAAACTGTGCTTGGCTGTTTAGTCACAGAAGGACACTGCTTTGCTGCTGGATTTGGCAGGAGGGCAATTCTTTATCACAAAGCCAGAAAGATATTTCTTATTTCAGCTGGTGCCAGCTCAGGTCAACTTTTTAAATCTCACTTTGATCGTGGCAAGGTTAAAGGAGCCTGAGGAAGACACCAATAAAATTGCTAACGAGTATAATTAGGTTTGTCATGAAATTGTATAACCAAATAATTTATACAACAGCCACAGTACCACCCAAGAGTTTGCACTTCCCAGTCGAGCCTGTTCTCCACCAGAAACACTACACTAGTCAACCACTCCTCAGCAGGAACTTTCCATAGGCTCAGTTTTAAATTGGGACCTTGAAATTTGACCCTAGAAAGGAGATTGCTTTATTTCTCATATTTCAACTGTACAAGACTGAACATAGCAACCTTAAAACTGTGATTCTACACTGACTCTTGAGGCACGGCAGTCTTGAAGAACTGGGGGAGACCTCTGTAGATCAAGAAACCAATAGGTTTACAAATCAGAATTACACTCAGCTGCAGTAGAGTCACTTGCTGGGCTAGACCAGCTAACCTCCACAGCTCCTCTCCAACTTGTTATTCTGTAAATCACAAGCTGATACCCAGGCAAAGGCAGTCTGCTAAATCAGAAATCCAAAGTCCTTCAGAAAAATCATTTGTGGACCTTCAGTCTTGCATGACTGCCCTCACAAGCCAGCACGCAGTCTCTTGGACAGGTTCTGTCATCTCAAGCTCACAAAATAAGTGAGGAAAGCACAAGCAACTGTAGATCCACAAACCAGAACCTCCTACTAGCACACCAGCCTCACACTGCACTTAAGCCAAAGAATAAATACAGAGAAGTTGTGCATATTGCTCTCCAAAGGTAATACTCCAGCTGGCAGCTCATGGATGCCACAGGAACCCAGTGTGACCCTATTACTCAGAGTCTAAGCAATGACAGGTATTAGGAGCTGACTCACTTTTCCTACCTTCAGGCATGGGGATTTAACAGAGAGGGGAATGAAAATCTCTACTCATAAGAACCGTAAGTTTATGGCTGCTCATACTTCATGTCCCCCTTCCCCATTCAACAGGAGGAAGTGTACCCTCCAAGCACCAGTGATAAAACCAACAAGCTCTCAACACCCTTAAACCCTGCAGAGCTTCCTCATACTCACAAGGACTGAGATTCCATGTTTCCTCGGACTCAGAGTTCAAAGAGAGCGGGGAAGGAGTGGGCCCCCGAGAAACACTATAATGGTAGCTTCCCATCAGGCTGCCCCCGTTGGTGTCTGTGTGGCTGAGGGACAAGTACTGGCTCTTCACACTCTGCTCTTTCCCACAGCCACCATCTGATCCATGGGGGGTGTGATAAAGGGTGCTGTCAGGCTCAGCGCTCAGCTCCGGGGTCCTGGTGCTGTTGCTGGTGTCTATCTCCGAGCTTTCCTCCCCACCAATGTAGAACTTCCCACTCTCACTGGCCAGGACAGATGTTTCCTCTGGGCAGTCCTGCTGGCTGCCTCCCTCCAGCACAGAGTCTGACAGGTCCTCACTCGTGCTGTCGGCACCAGGAGGCAAAGGTGTGCTGCAGCACTCCTCTGAAGGCAGAATGACCACATGGTCACTGGAACAACTGGGACAGGCTATGGGCTCACCAGCTGCAGGACCTGTGAAAGATTTTGTCAGGCATAAAGAAAAGCCAGAACACCTCCCGCCAGCAAGATTTTACTTCCTCCCACCTCCTCTGCAAACCATGAACCCTCCCTTTCAAGGTAGAGAATAGTTACAGTCTGACTTGAGCAGCTTGTTGAGCAACTTGTCCAGAAGCATATCCTACATACTTCCCCTCACAAATCAACCAGAAGTTCTGGATCAGGGCCACATGAAATAGTTCTGCTCAGATTTAGGGTGCCCATTGTGTGCTGTGGTTGCAACTGAGCCTGCATCAGGGCTTGGCTCACGACTTTCCTCCACTTCACATCTGCAAGTGCTCACACAACCTCTGAAGCCCAAGCTCATGACTAGTCAATCCAATCTTCCTTAGCCACCTCCATCTCCAGCATGCTGTGTCCCTTCCCCAGCTGTCCTCATCCCTTCTGACCCTGGCTCCCTTCACCCACACCAGAACAGACTCCAGCTGGATCACAGAACTCCCATTACTCTGGCAGGGAGAAGAAAGTGTCCTGGCGTGGAGAAAAGTGCTGCAGCCAGGACAGCACTTCTGTGTTCACTGCAGTACTTCAGTCCCAAGATACTTTGTCAAACAGCATCTTCTCAGCTAAGGCACTCCCCACTTCAAATATAAGCTGAGCTTCAAAAAACACAGCAGTCAGAAGATGCCTATTCAAGACTAGCTACATCTCAGCTGAAATACCACATCTAGTTTTAAAAAGCCAAAGAAAAATGTGGACAAACGGGAGAAAGTACAAAGACCAGCAAGAAACTGAATGTACGAGATATGACTGACAAGTAAATTATCTAGAGACTTAAGCTTATTTAGTCTAGAGGACAGAAACCAGGAAAAGTTGCCGGGGTAGAACAATGGCTCTCAAGTACAAAGAAAGGAGTAAATTGCTCCTCCAAAGTGACAGCAAGAGTGGGCTTAAGGCCACAGACAGGGAGACTTAGACATCAGAAAAACAACCAGAACCCTAACCTAACAGCCAAAGTTTTACCTGAAATACTGGCACAGATTCCCTGGAAGCTTCTGTTAGCAAAAACTCTTTAGAACAAATAAAGTCTCTGTGGCAGAACTGACTACATGACCTTTAAGTCCTCTCCCACACTTCAGTTTCCAGCAGCCCTGTGTTCCCCCAGGCCACCCAGAATAGGAGTGCTGTATGCTTAACCTTAAACCAGTGCCTTATTCCTGCTAGGAAACAAGGCAGGCTCTTCCCAATCCAAGTAGGCCAAGTGAGAGTTCATCCCACAATAGGTCTTAAATTCCAATACAGCCAACTCATCTCCTATACATTCCATGCTCTGCACCACAGCTGCCACTCTGGAAATCTGCCTGGGCATTAATTAGCAAACATCCTTCTTCTGGGCACTACAGCCTACCTTGATCTGAGGCAACTAGGGTCTCCAGAATTTTGCTGTCTCCAAGCTCTGAAGGATAGGAACCTTGATGCCAGGAGGCCAGGGACTGTGAAAACTCCTGCTTGCATTTCAGGCACTGGAGTTTCATGGATCCTTTCTCTTGGTGCTGATTTCGCCGATTCTCCTCAACAACTGGGGACAATACTTCAAGGATGCACTAAAAGTAGCAGCACAAGGAAAAGGATGCTATCAGGTAGCTATGATTGCCCTAATAAAATCAAGCTTCTGACACTAGCAAATCTTTTCACATGCCTCACTATAGCATTTCAGAGAGTACAGGGTGCATTTCCCAGCTGTGCAAGACTTGCCAAGGGCATGGAGCTTCACTGCAGAAGACCAAGACAACCTTGTTTTTGCATATCTGTGCCTGACAGCTACATACTGACAGGGTCCCTCTAGAACTCTGATCTCAAAGGTCCCATGTATTTGTGTCTTCCCTCTAATAACTTTTTCGAATGTATTAAACAATATCTTGAGAAAATGACTGGATTAGAGACCAGAGTCCCTACAGCAGCTGTGTGGACATAGCACTAACAGTCACTGTCCAGAGGACCAAGCACATGCCAGCACATCACTCAGCACCTACAAAACGTTACATTGCACACACATGCACACAATGATCACTAGCTTGACAACTTTTAATCTCAAGAGGGAGAAAACTGCAACACTCTCTCCTTAAGAGCACCGTTTATGCTACAGGAGCTCCACTGTGCATGGCCATGCTCACAAGGCCCTCCACAGGTCATCTGTGCAGAAGAAGAAATCCCAACAAGCCAGACATGGGCAGCAGGTACTCATGTGCTCTGAGAACAGCAGCCCTATGCTGGCTGGAAGAATTCAGTGTCTTGCAGCAACCCTGCCCCCTCCACAAGCCTCCCCACCTGCAGACACTGCTCTGGGCAGTCATCAAGCACCACATATTTGCGCTTCTGCCGGTCCTTGCGAATGTAGCTGAAGTGCAATGTGAGGACAGGGAAAACTCGCTCCAGGTCCTGCAGGAGACAGAAAACACTTGTTCTAGGATGAGAGAGAAGCTTTCGCAGACTACATCTGCTAGTAAACAGATGTAGTTGAAACACGGCCATACAAGCACTTAATTTAGTGTGTCCTAAGCATCCCTCCACAGCTGATAGCATTTGGGAGTCTGGTAAAATGAGCAGAAATAAATAAACAAATATAAAGCTAATGAGCACTGACAACACTTACGCTGAGTGCTTGAAAAATTGCATGAGTGCTTGAAACTTACAACAGTAACTTTCAGGCCTAAAGCAAAGCATTTCAATTAAAACACCTTTTCATGAAGGTATTTCAGAAGAGTATCAAGCCACAAACATTCAAAAAAGCATAAGGGCAGGGTTTAAAAATGAGTTGGAGCTTTTACTGAAAACAGTATTAGAGAAACCTGTGAACATGTCCGTATACAGACTGAATATAAAAATCCTACCACAAGGAAAGGAGATTTCCAAACTCCCTTTCTAAAGAACCGAAAAAGACAAAAAGGGCTGGTAATGCTAAAGTGTGCACCTAGAGCAGACGGCAAACTGCCCACTGAGCTGCCAGGAGCTTTTTAAACATCACACTAGGCTCTGTGCTGCTCTAGAAACAATGCAATACACAAAGAATCCTCCAAGGCCAGGAATGGATGGGAAGGAGATCTCAATTTCATTTAAGTTCCTCTTGAGAAGTCTCTCATTCCTCCACACTGGAACAAGTCTTCAAATTCCAGCTTTGGAATAGATTTGATGGTGGCTTCTGGTGCATTATTGCAGGTAGTCTAAGCAATACAGATACAGCCATTAGATACACATGCATTGGGTTGAAGAGATGCTCAATCAGGCTTTGTAGGAGCTAGGAAAAGACCTGCAGGATTCTTGACAGGAGCCCAAATCCAGAATGCTGACATACATAGGGAGTAAGATGACAAAGGCTCACAGAGAAGTGTAACTCACCATCCTCTTCCAGGTCAACTCAGAGGTTTCCACATTCTTCAGGCATTTCAGCTCCAGCTTGTGGAGGACTCTGGCAGCCTTCAGTTCCACCTCAATCACATGCTTAGCTGTGACTCGCAGGAAGATCCAGTCTGGCTCTGGGTCCCCTTCACCTTCTATTTGGCTCACCAGCACTGGCTGGCACAGGTCCACTGCCAAAAAAGACACAATACAGGTCAGTACATGCAGCAGGCCTTCAGTCCTGCTAGATGCAGATCCTTAACATTCCCACAATACTGGGCATCATGATACAGCTTCAGATATAAATCACATTTGATTAATCTATTTTGTTGTCATCCAAGCTCTTAAACACAGTGGGGAAAGGACCTGTTTACCTTCTACCTTCTCCTCTTCTTCCTCTCCAAGCATTAGCTCATCTGCCTCCTCTTCTCCTCTCTGTTCTCCTTCCACAGGCTCATCCAGCTGTACTTCAGGTTCTTCCTCCTTTACAGTGTCATCCAAAGGAGGAGAGGATCCTTGGGGCTTTTCTTGCTCTGGGTCAGAGCTCTCATTCTGCAAGTCCATGACAGCAGGTCTGCCTGTGATCTCATCTGCAGAACGGCTGCGGGACATGACGGGTACTTGGTCATGCTCCTCCAGGTGTCTCTTGTACTGTAGCCAGTCAGCACCAAAGCGGTCTCTGAAGCTGGCCAAGCGCTTCATCTCCTTCTGATGCTCCAGGACCAGACCTGCAGAGAGAAAACTTGGTAAGTATGAAAGTAGTCACCAGCCGAGAGCACTACTCTTACTGTGGGCAGTTTAGCTGCTATGTTATTAAGGAAGATAACAAGCCTCACCAGCAGAGAGGGGTAATGCCTGGGGCTCGTGTTCTGTGTCACTTGGTTCTGAAATACTTGCCCTGCGCACTTTGACTTTTCCCTGGAAAAAACGGGATAAAAGTAGTTGTGAGGAACTAGAACAATGAAAACAGCACCTGATGAGGGGCTCTGACAAGCTGAAGGGTTTATAGCTATTACAGTGTTGAGACACACCATTAAACACTTGTCAGGATATATGATGACTGATATTAAAGCCCCTTAGCAACACACAGCAGTGCAGAGGCTCACTAACCATGCAGTCAGTGCCAGACCACACCTCACTGCAGGAAGCTTTCACGTCAAGGCATCCCCTTCACCCAACATGCCAGCTACATGGCTAAGAAGCTGTGTCAGTCTCAGACCTTGCTTTTCTTTCGAGGGACCCTGATGGCCACATTCTCTGATGGGGACTGACTGTCACTGAAGTCTGCAGCACAGGAGCTCTCCAGTGCACTGCGGTCCAGTGCAGTCTTCTCTGAGGTAGAGGTGTGGATGGACTGGGACACACTTTGCACACGTCTTGGAAGGTGCTAAAGCAAGAAGAAGGGAGTATTGCCAGCTGAGTGCAAAGGGAAGACAAGGTAACCCAGCCACAAGTCAGGCTGACAGCTTTCCTGCTCCTCACCCCAAACTTCCACCATTTCAGTCAAAGCACTGACAACAGATCCCGCCTGGTTGATTGGATTGTTTATCACAAATACTCTGATTTAACTCAATCTCTGCCTTTCTTAAAAATAGCAGATGGGAAACTGATAACTATTTTGCTGACATGTAGTTCAAGTGTCAAGTACCATACAGTACCTGAAGAGGAAACAGGCAAGGCTCCCAGTCCTGCAGGGCTACATAAGCCAGAATAAATTACACTGGCCAGTTCCAACAATTATTAGGAATCAGCATGAACTGAGACAAAATGATCTGTGTCAAAGTCAAGGTAGCCCATAAAGATTTAATAGAACACATGACAATGCAAAAAAACTGTCAGAGTTCCCAGTCCCAAAGCCAGTAAGATCAGTTTTTAACAATTATACTTACCATTAGGTCTGAGGAAGAGAGTGGCTCCCCGTCCAAGAAGAACTGTAATTAGAGACCCATTTGCAGTCAGATTCCATTTGGCTGGCACATACTCAGGACAACTTCTGCTGACTCCTACTCCCCTTCAGGCCACCCTAGGGTTGGGATCCCTGGCAAAAAAACTGCAAAGAAACAACCCTGTTCCTGCCTATCCACCACTCCTTTAGTTGCAGCTACCTGACCTAATAGCATGTAAGGCCAGAAGGGACTGTTGTGGTTTTCCTGTTTACAGACTTTACAACTTCCAGAAACGTTTCCAAGACAGTTTGCGGAAGAGGTACAATAGATTATTCTACAACAACTCAAATTGTTTTGAAAGGTACTCACTTTCACCTCAAAGCCTCTATCCTACTTCTAGCCTGATTCCACATAGCTTCCAGTAACTTGAGCTTAGTGAAAGCTTTTGCCAAGACGCAATTTGAAGACAATGAATCCAGCCATTTGCCACTAATATGAAGGGCAGACCAGCTCTGGAACACCTTTGAACCTTAGCAAGTAAGTTTAATTTACTAAATTGCCAGAACACTGGCTTTGCTGGCTTATTTATTTGAAATCAGATTACCAAGAACTGACCTAAGCATTGGAGTGTAAGGGAACAGTGATGACACCTGGCTGAGAGCAGAGTGAAGGAGACAAAGAGGTGGCCATGGCTGCGAAAGTAGTACATACTTAGGTAAGATGGGCCAAAACTGTGAGTTCCTTCTTTGCACAATCCATCTACATCATTACTATCTAGCAGGAACAGAGTTAAGTTCCATCAGTGAGCAAAACTGAAGAAGTAGACAGTGAAGACATATTAAGATCTGAGGTGGTATAAACCTGAGATCAGTATTCAAAGCTGTGCTGGCCAGCACGCATCACACAAAATTTAAGGTTAAATTACTTTACCACAGGTAAAAAAGAAAAAAAAAAAAAAGGAAGCAACCACAAAACAATCACCACTGTAACACAGCTGGAATAAATCTCCAAGTTTCTTTTCCCTCATTAGCCCCTGACTGTTAGAATACTCTATAACTTCAACAGCAGAGGCAGAAGGTAGGTGGCTAATACTCACATTGGCGAAGGCTGCCCTGGGAGACACATGGACAAGGGCTGCAGATCGATGATGTTGATGGAACCATATTGGGTTTCCCTCCAAATGCAGCTGGGTGAGGGAAACAGACAAGTAGTTACTAGAAGCAATATTCTCTACCCCAGTCTGTCCTGCCTGCAGGCTCCAGTCTTAATCTCTGCTTCAAGAAATATTCTTGCAGTGGAACAGTTATCAAGCCAGGAGAGGACGAGGCTTTTACAATGCTTCCTGAAATTACTTCAGCAAATAGAGAAGGAGATTGAAGTACCTCCTAGTCATGACCTAAATCATTATAAGCTTTTTCAGTATTTACTCTGAGAAGTGTTGAAAGAACAGTCCTTTGCAGGCCCAGAGAAGGGCCCCATTCCTAGGGGTGTTCAAGACCAGATTGGATGTGGCTTTAAGCAACCTGGTCTAGTGGGAGATGTGTCCCTGCCCATGGCAGGAGTGTTGGAACAAGATCTTTAAGGTCCCTACCAACCAAAACCATTCTCTGATTCCATGATCTTCTTTCACAAGCACTATAGTGACTGCCTTGCTCCTTCAGACCTCTCTGAACACACAAATGCACCACAGGATTATGGGAAGATCTTTACTGAATTTGACAGTGTTAAAATCAGAAAGGATAAGCAAGGAAGTGGGGATGAATATAAAAAAGGTTAGCTTGAGGAAGGGTCACTAAAAACAAAGGCTGAAACACAGGTGTCTGTCTAAGGCTCCCCCATCAATTTCCTGCAATAAAATTAAATGTTCGAGTTTAACTTATCTGTCAAAACTCTCTGGTTACCACAAAGTCTCTATCTTGCACATCTTGACCATGAAATCCCTAATCTACCAACCTATCAGGCTTTATGCTCACTTTTTTTAAATAGTGCAGAGTGGACAATGGTGCCAGCTGGGCATGTTCCAGAAGCAGGTTATAGGCCACATCTAGGTGCTGCAGATTCACAAGCTGTTCCACCCCTGTGAACAAAGCAAGAAGCCATCAGCATGCTAGAAGACATAACTCAGGAACTTCCCCCAAAACTGGACCCTAGTAAAAATTGTTGTGCCCAAGATTTCAAGTTCTGTTCATTCTCAAGAACAACAGGAAGGCTTCAAACTCAGAAATGCTCCTCCCTTGTGGGCTCACCATTAATACTGTCGAGCTCATTGTTGCGCAGGATCAGAGTCACCAGCTTGGATCGGCTGAAGATGCCAAGGTTTGGCACCTTGGACAGGAAGTTGTATGCCAGATTGAGGTATTCTAGCTCTGTAAGGGCCTGTTCAGAGAGAAGAGCAGCACTGGATCAATTGAGACCTTATCTGAAAGCCTGGCACTGAACTCAGGACAGGGCACTAGCTTCTACCTTTTTTTTCATCCCAACAAGGTTAACCAACAAAGTGAGTTTCTTGAGACTGTTTCTGCAGGAAGAGTTCAATGTTTACATCGGGAGTGGTTTGCTTAGGGGTGCTCAGCATCATCTAACTGCTTTACACAATTTGCCAGGAGCACCTTTCTTTTTCCTCGCCAACTTCAATGGAGCACAAGAAAGGACTGGAAATTCTGCCTCAGCAAAAGGAGTGAACTACCAACAGAAACCCTTTCTTACCTTTGTAAAGATGATGGGGAATGATACCTTGTGAACTCCACCAACTCCATAAAAAGCTGTTTCATAAATTTGCTTCAAGGAAGCAGACCTAGCCCAGCAAAGCATGGATTTCATTGCAGTTCCCCAGAAACACACATGCCTTTGTGATGGACTGCCCCTTTTCTAGAGTGACTGACTGGCTTCTGAGAGCAGGAAGTAAATGCTACTGGCAGCTTGAACAAACTGAACAGTAAGCTTCTACTGCCCCATGCCTGGCTACGTAATTCTCACCTGCTGCACAGATTAGAGCAAAGTCTTGGCCACAGTGGAGTGCCCACTCTGTGAGGGGCTGTACACAGAGTGCCCTGTGTGTTTCAGTGCATTTACCACTCGGCCATGCTGGACTGCCAAGTGACAACTAGAGCTAACTCTCTGTCTTAGAGGTGAGGAACACTGCCTTCTCTGCCTCAGTGGTACTTGGACGGCACATACAGGACAATGGTTTTCAGGCTGCAAGCACTAGCTCTAAGCCACACCACATCTGTGATTTCTTTTATTATACCTCACCTAGTAGGAACATGATGTCAATGACTACAGAATTTTAGCAGCATCCTCTGCACAGGAGGAAACTCTGCTGGTCAGCCCAAAATACTCACCGTTAAATAGTGCTCACAATCCTGGATCTTGTTGTGACTCAAATCCAAGACCCTCAGAGCATTCAGTAATTGCTGAGGGACAAAAAGATATTAGATCAGATCCTACAATTGTCTCTGTTACAGCATGAAAAGCTTCTCCTGCTGGGAGAGGCCAGCAAAATTAACACTGCTTGTTTCCTCCCACCCAGATCTAGCAGCATCACTAACAGAGGGCCTGGCTCTTGGCTGTGATCATGTCCTCTCTTCTCAGCCAGGCTCCTGCAGGAAGGATGCCCCACTCACCAGTGAGTCATCCAAGGTAGTAATTGAATTATAGCTGAAGTTCATAGTCTGCAGTTCCAACCACGGGAGAGCACAGCTCAGATCTCCACCACATGCTGAAATTATTTCCTAGGAAGAAGAGAGGAGACATTCCTTGGTGAATGCTAGCTGTTACAGTAAAAGCAGATGAACATAGGAGAACAGTCTAGAAGGTGGCTGACATACTGTGTTTTACAGACCTTGTCTTGCTTAGCGAGGCAGTGAATTTTCTGTCCCTAATTCAAGTATTTGGAGGTGGTGGAAATCCCATGGCCATATATTTGGAAAGAAGGGGAGATGCTTTTGTTTTCTACACTGAAGTGGCAATAGTTAACCTAATCTGTTAGATTTCTTAGGCTCAGGACACTGAGAACAAAAACTCATGTTAATAAAGTAATTTTCAGACCTCCCTCAAACAAAAGCAAGATACACAATTGCATCCTGACAGATTAAAAAAAAACTCTCAAAGCACTCCCTACCCTCAGCCCCTGTTCTCCAGCAGGCATCTGCTTCTATGTCCCAGAGAGAAGCCCAGAGGCCCATGGCCAACACAGCCCATGCTACTCAGTTCTCCATGGCTGAAGCTTGCCTTCATGTCTCAGAAATGTGCTGGGCAGCAGTGCAGGTAAGACACTGGGGCACAGCATTTCTTCTAACAATAAGCTCTAAAAGGGCTGCTGAGGTACAGTGAAATAAACCTTGACCAGCTGCAGGCCTTGAATGTGGAAACAGCCAGATACACAGAGTTGTCCTAGCTGACACAAATGCTGTCTAGAGCCAGAAATTCTCAAGAAGCTAAAAAAAGACTACAGAGCACATGTGCTTGCAAGCGGGGAATCCTTCAAGTGCTTGACACAGGAGTAGGAGCAGGGAAGGGAGATGAAGCCATACATAATATGAATGAATAAAAGGGCTAACACTGTCTCCTACATCTTCCCTGTGTGAAGGGCTGTGGGATCAAGACAGCCTTTCTCTTGCAATTTACCCCACAAGCTGTGTAGAGACACTCACCTCCAGTGTACTGATACATTTGCAACAGGTGAGAGATTCCAGCTGAGAATAGACAAATCGAAGTCCCCGAAGGCAGTGTGGAGGGACAGACCTCAACTGCAGCAGTGATGACAAAGAACAACATACATCAAACTATTACAGCAGAGGAGCAGATCCAAGTTTTACCCCAAGCAAGTGTTACAAGAGTTTAGTCTTAGCCTTCTAGGGAAGCCACAAAAGCCTACCCAGTTTTTAGGAGTAGAGGCATTCTGCAACCACAAAACTAGTCAAGAAAACCCAAACAGCAAGACTCAAAACCACTTTTGCCATCTATACTTACTTCCAGATGCCGGAGGGACTTGAAAGGGAAGATCTTCACAGCAGATTGCAAAACACAGTTTGGAACATGAACAAGCTAGAGAAATGACAAAATAAGTCTCATGTCAAGCTTGATTTGTGCTGCATTACCATCTTCTTGATGCACCAACTGCAGCACCTTGAACAGGCTGTCCCTCCAGCTCGGGTGATCCCTTAAAAGCTCTCTCCCAGTGCTGGTAGTGGCACCGTCTCCCCAGATTAATAGTACAGTAGAGGTCACAGAGAATAGCATATCAACAAGTGTGGTCTACCAGCCCAGGGAGCTCCTCTTCATCTCCCCTGCTCACATGGCTTCACCACTTTCAGCACCACTGGCAGACCTGACAGCTAGATTCCTCATCAGCCACAACCAGCAAATCTACTAAAGACAAAACTAACTGCTAGAGGTATGTTTATCAAGCAACTGAGTAGAACTAGCACGCTGGTGGGAGGTGTGCATGTGCATTTCACCACAAGAGGCCAAATAAGGCCCTGTTAGTGTTAGACTGAGGTGCCTGCAAACCTTTTCTTTGTATTGTGTAGAATAGCCACAGGCCCTTTCAGCGCAGGGCAGTTAGGCTGTGTTCTTGTACCATAAAGCAGCTTACTAAAACCACCTTCTTATGCTTTCTATGGACAGTGCATAAACAGTATTTCTGGCTGCTATTGAAAGTAATGAAGTAGTTACCACTTCCACTGCAGACAGCAAAGTACAACCAGAAAGGTCACCTCTGCCAGTTACATAGACATTCACAAAGAAGTGACTCATCAGGTGCAGAACAGACATCTCAAGACCTCATCACCACTACTGCTTCCACAGCTACAGCCCTGCCAGGAATGAATCACTGCCCACTGCCTGCCAGCACTAATGCTGCATGTTGAACAAGAGCATTTGCAAGGGGAGCTTGCACTAGCAAGCTCTAATGATCAGTTCTAGCAAAATTTATTTCAGATGCCATTCATGCTGTGGGTCTTGATCATCTTCTCTCCCTCCACTGGCTTAAAAATCTGCCAGGCTGATATAAATTATTAGTTTCACCAAGTAAACCAGTTAGTAGACATCAATGGGCAGCTTCTCCTTCTTTACAGATTTGTTGCAGAGAGAGCACATTTTCTAGTGAACAGGAGCACTCACCACAACATCCTCCTGATTGCAGTGTCCCCCCCTGCCTTCTCCTGCTGGGAGACCCATCTTTCTCCACAGACTCTGGGCCCCACTCCAACCTCCTCACTCACTACGCTATTAAAAAAATCCTCCCAATAACATTCTGATACCACTCCACTCTCACAAGGAAAACACGTTTTTAAAGACATCATAGATTTTACTGCTTAGCCACAATACCTTTTGAACTCCGCTGTGGAACACAAAACAGCTGCTAATGCCTCTTCCCCTTTTAAGCTCCTTTCACCTCTACTACCCTCCCAGCGTGTCCCAGTGCTGAGCAGAATCATGTGTAGCACTGTAGCACATGCCACGTTTCAAAAACCTCTCTGAAGAATTCCTTGATCTGTAGTTTTATCTTTATTACAGCCTCTTTACTATAGCCTTTATTGTTAAAATTAATGAGGATATGTAACTAGAAATATCCTGTGCTGTGAAACTGATCAACTAGAACAACTGCTCAGGCTGCTGAAGTAAGCAGCAGCCTCAGAGTGTGTACAATATCTGACCCCTCTGCACAAATTCCCCGGCTCTGCTGCCTTGGACAGATCAATCATCACTCCCGGAGCAGTCAGCTGTGCTCAGGTGCCAGATACTGGCTGAATTGCTCAAACGAAATAATTATCTGCCCAACAATGACAACACCTTACCAAGGTCAGAACATAATTAACTCCTGCTGCCCCTGTTTTTAACTTCAAGAAACTTTCCGTTGAGTTGCAGGGCCGATCCTAGGTAAGCAGCTATAGACTATTGTGCTGAGCGACGACTCCATGCAAGAGTCCTGTGAGAGCCATTGGACCCAGGGAGCCCGCACGGCGGACGGGGGCAATGGGCACCAGAGGATGCTGCTCTGAAGCTGTGCCTGCCACCTCCACTGACCGGCAGCACCCTGCAGCACCCCCGGTCCCGGTATGTACGGACCTTCAGAGAGTGAGTCTTCTGCAGGACGTCGAAGAGGAACTGCGCCTGGAGGATGGCGGCTGTCTCGGCGGGGTGCGAGGGCAGCGCCACGAAGCCCCGGTTCTGGTTGCGGGAACCCAGGTGCTGCTCGAAGACCTCCGTGAGGTGCTGCAGGGTGGAGGTGAGCAGCGTCAGCGTGCTGGAGCCGTCCAGGACGAGGTCCCCTGCAGGAAAGGGGAAGGACGAGCAAGGCCGTGAGTGTCCACACACCGGGGGCACTGACACGACCCGGCCCAGCGAGGCCCACGGCGGCCGCCACTCACCCGCGTCCTGCAGCAGCCGCGCCAGGCCGCGCACCAGCGTCTCCGCCGCCGCCATCTGCAGCGGAGAGGCCGAGGGGACCCCGGACCGGCCCGGTTCGGCACGGCCCGGCACGGCCGGTCCCGCCGCCGCGCCGCCGCTCTTCCGCGTTACCGCCGAGGCGCGCCCTTCCGCCGCACCAGCGAGGCGGCCGCCGCTCACATCCGGTTGCCATGGAGCCCGCCCCAGCGTCCCCCTCCCGCTCGGCGGGGCCCGCGCCCCCCGGCTCCCGCCCCGCCGCAGCCCCGCGCCGCCGCCCCGCAGCCCCCCCGGTAAGCGGCGGCAGCCCGGCAGCGGCGGCGGGCGGTGCGGAGCGGGCCGGGCCGGCGGGAGGCCGGGGAGCAGCGCCGCCCGCCGCCAGCGCGGCGCGGCACGTGTCGGGCGGAGCGTGGCGGCGGGGCCGGGGCGCGGCGCGGCGCGGCGGCGGGCGGCTCTCCTGCTCCGGCGGGGGGGGAGGGGGGGGGGTGGGTTGTCCGTGCGCTACCCCGGCTGCAGCAGCTCCGCCTGGCTGCCCTGCCCCGGCCCGTCTGCGGGGTGCTCCGGTGCTGCACGGTGCGTGGCGCGGTGCGGGTGGCTGCCGGTGCGGAGCACGGTGCATGGCACGGTGCATGGCATGGCACGGTGCGGGGCGGTGCATGGCACGGGGCACGGCACGGCACGCAGCGCGGTGCTCGGGGCTGGATGCGGCGCGGAGCATCCCGCGCTCCGCACTGTACGGGCTTGCAAGGCACGGCACGGACATGGTGCAGCGACCCCAGTGCCTGTCTGTCTCCCTTTCCTTCCCCGGCTATACGTGTGTCTGTTAGAGCCGTCCGTACGTCCAGTGGAGGGTGGCTCATTGTTACTGTCTGGTGTCGGCACTTCGGTCTGGAGTGAATTTTGTTCCGTGTGTTCGTTTATGTGTCTGTGGACCGTGCAGGCTCCGTCCCGTCTGGTACCCTATGAAGGGCCTGTTGTGAGGGAGAGTCACGGAACAGACGGTGCTTCAGGAGTGAATGGCTGTGATGGTTCGTCCAGGGTAGTTCAGTGGAGAATAGGGTTCATTGAAATATTTAAGCCTTCTAAAGTGCTTGTGTAATAATACAAATTTCAACATAGCCATGTGGCAGGGAGATCCACAGGTTAAAACCTTCGTGCCGGAAAACTTTGTGTGTTTACTGTCTTATGTGTTGCCTTTTCATTCTGGTATGTGTATCTGTTCCTCGGCCATGACAGAGGGGAGGTAGGGGCTGCGCAGCCCACTCCTGTTTTGTTTGGCTTTGAGGCTGTGTCACAGTAGCATCCAAATGCTCTGATGTATGCAACAACACCCCTCCTGCTCCTTCCCTCCGTGGACATGCACACCAGTATTTCTTCCCAGGAAAATCTTCCAAGGCCTCTAATCCTTCTCCTTTGTGAGCTCTTCTCGTCTGTGTCTATCAGCCAGAGTCCCTTCTCCTCCCCTATCCTCAAACCAGCTTTGCCACTGTAGCTTTATCCCTATCTTAACATCCACTCCTAGTCTAGACACTCTACAGCTAAATTATTCTTAGCTGATGGCCAAGGGATTAAGGAAGTGCTGTGGAGATGGATGTGGAACCTGATGGCTGTCTCCATGCAGCCCCTCACCACGGAGCTGGGGCAGCCTGCCTGTAGTGCTACCAACTCATCTTTATGGCAAAGGGACAGCATGAACTGTTCGCCTCGGCCCTCAGAGGTGTGCCAGATTGCATTTTACTCAGCAAAACAGGGAAGCACTGGCACTGTGAAGCAGCCTTTGGGGATGAGGGGGTGCCCCGCTAGAGTCTCTATGTGCAACATGTGGGAGATGCTGTAGCTGCCAGCATTGCAGGGACATGCCTGCTCACTTTCCTTCAGAATCTGTTAAGCTTAGATGGTGAGTACGATGGTCAGTACAAGGTATGGTGATTCATGTGAGCCAGTTCTGTTTACTGATGTGCTTGTGGAGAGAGCAGGGATGTGTGAGTGCACACAGGTTGGCAGGCTGTGGATTTTTCTGGCTTCCCTTCGAATCTGGCCTGCTGGCATGATGCTTCTATTACTGAAAATTACTTCTAGCGGGAATGCTGAATCACGTACTCCCTATAACCAGGAGATACAGTAGGATGAAGGTATCAGTCATTTGCTTTTATTTAGTGGTTTGTTTTTTTAGTTTCCCATTTTGTCTTGTGCTCTTCTTATGGCAACCAAGGCAGTGATGCCAGCAGGCTGAGCACTTCAGCATCGTGCTTATTTGGAGAATTCTCCCTGATACTCCTTTTAAGTTTCTATTTTAAATTTTAACCCATTCTTAAGTCTCTTTATGAAGGGCTGGCTGAAAAAAAAAATCTTTAGTTGTGTTTTACACCCTTGAGATCTTTCCAGACTGCTGGCTTGTCCCCTCCCCATCTTAGTCATCCCATATTTTGCTAGACAAAATTAGCTCCTAACCTTTCCTTGTAAATCAATTCCTCTGGCCTACTGGCAAAATTTTGCTCTTCTCTGAACTCCATCTGTTGATGGTGGTAGAAATGCTAGGCAGGATCCCGGTAGATGGCCATCCTGCCTTCCTCCAGAGGTGGCACAGAGTAAGGGGCAAGTGGCCTCTAGTGGCCGTGGCCAGCCGTGAATGTGCAGAAGGGGAGCACCAGTGCTTTCAGGCAGTGACCTCTCAGTTCTTCAGAAACAGGAGAGCTGGTAGGGTTAGAATTCGAGAACACACCTCTCATCCTCACCTCTGTCTCGTCCCCAAAGCATCAGAGCCTTCCAACAGCTGGATCCCAAGTCCTGCTGCCTTGGGGTGCCCATACATCGCATCCTGCTTTCACAGGGTGATGAGTGGGGCATTGATGGAAGCCCTGTGCATATCTCCCAGTCCCTCTGAAATTTTAAAAGCAAGTCCCCAGGGCTCTCTTACTGTTACTATAACTGTCTGGCTTTTAGCTGTTCAGCCTCATTAGAGTGATGTCTTCAGCATAATTCTGAATGTGCTGCTTTGATGGGTAAAGAAAGACTAAGTGCTGGATTTTCCCTCTCTTTAAACTTCGTTTAGGCAGTCGGGGTGTAGTTTTAAACTCAGTGTAATCAATGTCTTATAAAGCTGGAGTCAGCAGAATATGTTGCACCCAGCAGTTCTCCAGGACGTGGGTTTCTTCCCTCCCAGAGCATAAAATGCCCCTGGAGCCTCTGCCTTGCTTCAGACATACCTAAGGTTGACCTGAAACAAAGCACATTGCTTCAAAGCCCTGCTGATAGATTTTAGTTTACTTTAAAGGCCCCACAAGGCATGTTAGTGACACAGAGGTGAAGCTGAGCATTAGTGTTTCTTTTGTTAAATTAGCTTTACCATTTTGCTAGGTCTTATGATTCTTCCTCTACAGGAGCTGCTGTCCAAAACCCCATTATCTTTTTACTCCCTAAGTTATAGCGCTTGCAACACATTTTTGCATTCACTCTGTAGTTGTGAATATTCTGTTCCTTAAAAGTGTCCAATCCTTTCTTTAACAGTGGTAATGCCATGGCTCTGCAAAATGAGGTTCCCCTGCCAGCTCTTCCCACTGGAATAAAATGTTCCCTGCCTTCAGTTTCAAATGTACTGCCGTTTGTTTTCATGGAATTATACCCTCTTCTTGAATTAAATGGGAAAAAAAAAAAAGGAAAAAAAGGAAAAAGACCCACCATGTATTAACCTTTTCTCTATCATGTCTCCTACTAAAAGGATGGCCTGGATGCTACATTTGCTGTTTAGAGGTCTGTCTTGGCAGCCTATTTCTCTTGAGCTGTTGAGGTCTTACTGAGGATGAAATTAGTGATGCGTCCAATGAGATGTGTTTCAGGGGTTTCTTCCATTATGTTTTGCCTTGTTCCTGATAATTAGGAAGGTGGAGTGAAGGAGCATCCTTCATCAGTGGTCAGATTAGCTCCTCAAAAACTTCTCTTACAGATGACACTGGGATTTTTGGTTTGAATAAGCTCTTCATGTAGGCAGAGTAAGAAGAGTGTAGGCCTTCTGGAGATCTTCAAAGAAAGAAGGTTTGATGAAGTGGCTTTACTGGTTTCATCCTTAGACAATCTTTAATGTTTCAGTCAGCTGTCTTGAACAGTGTCCCATGCTAGGTACTTCAGATCAGATAGTAAGAAACCCCTCAGCAGATAGCCAGGAGACATACTTGTCCAAAGCTTTCATAACTGGAGAATAGCTTGTTGTGAAAGATGAATTTATCTTCTCTTAATTTTCTTTGTCATAGATACAACTCATTACCAGAGACATGGCCAAGCTGTCCTCTGACTTTGCAGGTTTTTGCTCCTTGATGACATCACTGAAAAAAAACATGTTTTGCCAATTTTGAATTCATTTGTGTTCTACCCTTGTAGTTTTAACAAATGTCTCTTTTCTTGTGCTGGGAGCTGAGGACACTTTGCTTCTCCTTATGCCCAAATCTCTGTGTGCATCTGCTTACATCTTCTCTATTTCAGATGAATTTTGGGGGATCAGTGTCTTCCCAGTGTCAGGCTCTGTACCATCTCCAGTTCTTCCTGGGGTGCAGCCCATGCTGCATAGGCTGTGCTGCTGCTGTAGATGGTTTGACCAGAGATGTTTCTGTGTTAGTCTGTATCCCAGTATCCCAGTCCTTGTCAGTGGCCCCTCCTTGCCTTCTTCACCTGTAGTTGGATATTGAGCAGATTGATCCTTTGTGCTGTCCTCAGGGACTTGTGTGTCCTTTAGCCCTGTCAGTGCTGACAGGGCGCAGATCTGCAGCCTGAAGGTTGGTCTCTTTGCCTGTAACACGTGTTATTTTGTGTGTGGCGTTTGAATGATGAACTGTTTGTCCTTGTGCTATCTCTGTAGTCTGCACAGCTCTCTCTGTGGTTCCTTCTGGCCATTTCTGGGATCTGTCCAGTTAAAGCTAGGTGCCACAGGCCCATTCTGCTGCCTGCTCCTGGTATGTACTCCCAGCACCTGATCTCTCCAGCTTTTTCTTTCCCTGGTGGTCAGTCACACCCCAGCTTTGCACAGGTGTGCTGCTGTAGAGGTGGCTGAGCAGGAAACCTTTCTTTTGCACAGCCCATGCAGGAGCTATGTATAGCTGCTGTCTCCATTGGCCCCTCTGACCTTTCAGAGAAGGACAGGATCCCATCTATCCCTGATCAGCTGGAGCTGGTGGACAAAGCAGCATGGGCTGGGCCACTTGCCTCTGCACACTGCTGGGGACAGGCCTGTTCTAGTGATGCCAGGGAGATTCTCCAAGGGCTGCTGAGGTGACCTCTGGATCAGGAGCCAGGGGCTTGAGGGCACTGGCCGGCAGTCTCCCACGACATTCCCTTGTCCTGCCCTCTCTCCACAGGTTATGCCACTCTCCAGGTTTGCTGGGTGCCTGCCGGTGAAAGAGAAGGGTTGATATTTTGCCCAGGCCCTTAGGTCCTGAACCAAAATGGCAGCTGGAGAGTCCCCTCCCGTAGGAGATGTCTTCATCGACTTGCAGCAGGTGAGGTGGGAATCCAGCAGCAGCGGGGCCGTCTCTTCCCCAGGGCCGTGCTCCTGCTGGCTGAGAGCGGGACTGGTGTCCTGGCAGGTGCTGCATAGGAGACACAGCTGTGTTTACCGGGGACAGGTCTGCACCAAGCGTGCCCCGAGGCTGCCATGTCCCTGTATCCTCTCCACACAGACAGCAAACTGTGGCCCAGAAAAGGCCAGAGATTGCTCTGTGAGGTCTCTGTGCCTTCACATGCCATTGGGTAGGGTACCCAAGTGCCAGGAGGAGCTGAGCAGCTTGAAAATAGACTGTCCCCATTTAGACTGGGCTTGGGACACCTGTGCTAAGGTGAGAGGAGAAGCAGTCTTACCCACAGGTACAAAGCTGCTCCTAGTCCACAGCTAAGAACAGGGATGTGAGGAGATGGATCTCTCCGTTAAAGCTGCCTTGCTCCCTCTTTCTGCCTAGCAGATTTGTCACAGTTGGGCCTCCTTCTGTTTCCATGGAAACACGGGAGTCCACAACAGCTCCGCACTGGTATTTCGGCTATATTGATGGAAAATTTTACCAGCTGCAGCTGCTCAGGAGAAAGAAAGAAAGAAAGAAGGAAAGAAAGGCCAAGGGACACCTGGTGATGCTCATCTCAGGGCACTTCCACCAGCAGAAGGCAGAGAAGTTCCCATTGCCTGAAACAGGAGGAAAATGGGCAGAAAAGCCTGAAGAAAGCATTAAAGAGGAACAGAGAGTCCCTAGGTGTGTGGAGGGGAGGTGGAAAGGCACAGGGTGGTCACCGACCCAAGGACAGCTCACCAGAGCAGTGATGCTGTTTCCCAAGGGGAAATACAGAGGAGGTCTAAGAATGAGAGAAATGGCAAACTGGGCAAAGGGAAGACCAAAAGGCAGCAGTTAAATATGAGGAGAGAGAGATTCCAGCCAAGCAAAAGCTATGCATTTCCTCTGATGGGAAAAACAGGCACTGGCAAAATCTTGCCACTCAAGAGAGGTGTGGAGGACCACTAAGGTATCCCTGCAGAGTGCGCTGGTCTGTTCTGGCACTTGGTTTTGAGCAGAGCTGTGCCTCTATGTGAGAAATTGTGCCCCAGGCCTGTTGTACGGAGCCTGTGCTCCTTAGCAAGATGGCGCTATTGGAAGGGCAGGAAGATCCAGAGGGCTTTAGGGGTCTGCCGTGTTTGATTCTTACCTGGCGGTTTCTGTGCAGGGCAGAGATGACGCAGAGAAAGCCTCTCCTGGTGCCGAGGACGATGAGGACTTGGATAAGACTTTGTCAATCGAGAGATTTGGGGACCTGATAAGCAAGTCAGCATCAAGCAATCTGGAGAAGCAAAGTCGCAGCTACAGTGAGAGAGATTTTGAATGTATGTAGGTTTTGAAACATTGTACCCCCTTCCACCCTTACCAGCAGCCCTCACTCAGCCCCATGTGCTCTGCAGCCTTGTGCGGGGACTGCAGATTGTATTAGCCTGCTATTCACTTCCTTCCTCCAGAGTGTTCCCAAGGTGCTATGTACACACAGTTTAGCACCAGTGCCCACGGCCTGTTTCCAGTCTGTTCCTGTTTCCTCTGTCTCCACAGGCATAGCTACTGCACAGCCCACCCAGCAGTGTAGCTCAGCCCGGGGTGTTTGCTCACCTCCTAGACCAGCCTCTGAGACCTCTGCAGCTACTTCCCCAAGTTGAAATTTTCAATTTAAAACAAATTTTCTTCTGCTGCAAAGAAACATACAAATATGACCAGAAGCCAGGCTGTCTTCCCCAGTCTGAAAGCAGATGGCTCCAGTCAGACATGCCTGTGTATTTCTGAATAGCACTCAAGAATGCATTTGAGCTTATCTGATCAAAGAAAGGAGCTGCAAAATAAAAATGGGGTGTGAATTTAAAGTGTTGTAGTTATCTCACCTGAATTCATCTGAGCAGCATATCTATTCCTCTAACTGCTCTTTCATGTTGAAGGCAACTGGTCTGCCCAAAGTCACTTTGGGTGTTAAATGAGAATGTACCAACAAGAGTGGCCATAAGCTATTGCTTGGTGTAGGTGAGTTATGTTACTCTGTAGTAACATCAGTGAAGGGCAGGAAGAGGCCCCTGTCCAGCAGCCTGTTTGTGTGGCACACACGTGGCAATGGTTGGGAGATTTTCCCCGTCTGTGGCTCTCCACAGTCACATAATGCTTCTTTTCCAGCTTGACTTTGATGGGATACAACCTTGGGAACTTTATGTCCCAAGTACATCACCAGGCTGTTTTCTGCTTGGCCACTCATTTCCAATGGCTGTTATAAAAGCTTGCTGGTAAATTACCATAGTGCACCTCAGCTGCTGGTTTTTCACGTGTATCATTTCTCTACAGAGGCTCCATTCAAATAACACTTCCCATCTGGGCTCACAGTCACTCGTGCACATGGCTGCAAGGTGCTGATAGCTTTGCTGTGGGTTAAGTTCCTATCCTGTGCCCATAGGTCCTACCTGCTCAGAAGCTCTGCCTGTGTGCACAGGTGTGCGGGTTGGCTTGGAGGACATGGATAATCTGCTTGAGCATGCATGGCAGAAGCTTTTTGAAAATTTGACTAGAGATTTGTACTGTTTGGGGTTGGGGTATTTTTCCTTATTAATAGGAGAATCATTTTTCTTTTGTTGGAATCAAGCTTGTTTTCCTCTGAACTACTGATTTATTTCTGTTGTCTAGGACTACATCAACCCTGGTTATCAAAAGTTTTATGCAGTTCATATTCATAAAGCTGAAAGGTCTGGTTAGGTCATTAGACTTTCAAAGATAACATACCAGCCCATAGAGGTGAATGTTCTCTAGGCTTAGAAATGTTTCCTGCTCTAGTCGAAGCCAGGAATTCCTAATATGTAGGCTCTTCCTTCTGGGCTCCCTATCCAAATTACTTTTTCATATCTCTTGTATCAAGTTCACCAAGAAATGTAATCAGACATCTGGGACACTAGTTTGGCAGTAACTTTCCATACAGGCAGGCAGTGCAAGAAAGGAAGCAAGGAGGGAGGGTAGGGACTGGATGCACAGGAGGACAAGGAGGAAGAAGAGGGAGGTATGAATCCTTTTGTGTTTGAGAGATGTGTGTTTTTCCCACCTCCAGACCACCTCTGTGGAAATATGATCAGTTGACACGAGGAGGGTTGAGTGCAGGAGTGAAGAGAAGAGCAGTGCTCCTTCTTCTGTGCCAGATCACACCCATCACTGCCCTTCCCTGCAGCTAAGGGAAGTTTCCTCCTGATCCAAAACATAAATGTTTCTGTCTTGGGCTGAGGTGAACAAGCCAGAAAAGAAAAGATGGGCTGTGTCCTCACCAGCAGCTTTGTGCTGTTGAAAGAGCAACGTGTGTATAGTTGTGGTATTCCTTGCTTCTTATATTAGGAATTTGTTCCTGACCTATCTGTGGCATGCTATGGAAGTACAGAAGCAGGACAGGAGGGTCTTTCTGCCACATCTTGTGAGTGAAATAGGGTACACCCAGTTAAGTCAAAGAAAAAACACTTTTCAGAGAAAAGTGTTTATAAAGAGCCCAAACTCGTTCCAATTTGCAGACGTCTGACCATTCTAAATCTCCTCTAATCTTGCCACAAGCTGCTTCTGAACCAGGGGGATGTGTGAAATATCCCTGCTGTTCCCAAGGGGGGAAACAAGGGAGAAAAGACTTGAGAAACCAAAGGAAAGGAAACATGACAGCAGAACAATGAACCTGCCTGGCTCTCCCAGGGAGAAGGTTAAAGCCTACATTGAAAATGTCCTTTGAAGGTATTTTTCACTATAAACAGATTTTGCTGCCATGTCACAGGAAAGCTGGGAAGGAACCAAATCAAAACAGACTGGAAACAATTCCTCAGGAAGAGCTGCTGAGCAACACCCCCATGCCAAGTGGCTAGTGCCCCCCTGATTTCAGCCTCTCCAGGTGCAGCCCCAGGACCTGCGCATCCTGCAGACTGTCCGTGGGAGGCTTTGTGCCTGCAGCTAGCCCTAGCAGCAATGGCTTCTCTTTCTCTTACAGTGGAATGCTGAGCTTACCCTGTTCCCTGCCTGGAGCATTGCCTTTGTTTTGGAGTGAAGGCTCAGAAATGCCCTTAATTTCTTCTCATGCTGTAATTCCCATGACACCCAGGTCAAGCCTGTATGAATTTCTCTTTGTAGATTAGTTTAAAGAAAAGTCCTTCTGCCCTGTTTCTTTACCCTGGTTTTTAAAAGACAGCCTCCTAACTAAACCTGAATTTCAGAGGCTGGTAGACACATGCCCTCAACACAGAGGCTGGTAGACACATGCCTGGGATGTGACTTAGGTTGCATCTACACTGTTGTTCATATAACTGTGTAGAAGGAACTTTCTGTCAAAGCCTGGGGGATAAATAAGCCACATCTGTTCAACTCAAAGAAACATTATGCAGAAATCACTATCATTTAGACTGGAAAAGACCTTTAAGATCATCAAGTCCGATTGTAAACCTTACACCAAGTCCGCTACTAAGACATGGCCTAACCACTAAGTAATGTTCGTAGAGAGTTTGTGAAGGGCCCAAATCATGCTTGTTTGAGGATGCAAGGAACATTTCCCCATGTTTAGGAAGGGGATGTTGCCTGTGGCAAGTCACTGCAGCTCTGCACAGCCATGCAAATGGCTTTTGTCAACACGAGGAGAGGAGTGCTGCCTTCCCCAGGGCAGTGCAGCTGTGTTGGGGTGGTTTGGCACTGCACAGGGGCCCTGTCCCTACCTTCCCCAGGCTGGACACAGCCTGCCACATCACTGAAAGAGCTTTGCTATGTCCCTGTGGGCTGGTGGCTCTCCTTGCCCTTCCTGGCCCTTGATCTTCAGACCATGCTGTTTCCTGGAGGGGCGCCTGGCAGGTTCCTCCCAGCCTCTTCCTGCCCCTGACTCTCTTTTTCTCTCTCAGTCCACCGCCAAACCTCGCACCACATCCATCATCCCCTTTCCACTCACCTCCCTTCTGCCCTCAAGTTCCAAAAGAGGCCACCTCGTGCCAGCAGGAGGAAAAAACGGAGGAGGAAAAAGAAGAAAACCTCAATACCTCCCTCAGAGGTAACCCCCACCATCCAGGAAGAGGACGAGGAGGGAGAAGAAGAGGAGGAAGAAGAGGAAGAAGAAGAGGAAGAAGGAGAATCTGAGGCAGAGGAGGTCCAGGAGAAAGAAATCTCTGCAGAGTCTGAGGCTGAAGCTCGTGGGAAGGACACATCCCCTAAGCTGGAGTCCCCAAGCAAACCAAAGGCAAGGCCAGGGCATGCCTGTCTGGATGGGGCTTGGAGTCTGGGGGGAGGTTTTAGGAGGGTGCCAGCAAGTGTGCTGATCAGGGATAAGAACTTGTAGCTGTGCAGTACTGTGGGAAGAGTGTTTTTGTCTGCCTAGCAGAGATGGCCACCAAAGGACAGTGACAGGTAAGTCATTGCTTGATGTGGATGCAGGGGTGGTTGTGCATGGGTGTTTTGGGGCTGTAAGACCCATGGGGGAAGATCAGTATATCTGTCCTTAATGTTTATAGTATAGTGGAGGGCTCAATATGACCAGTCCCAGCGTATGGAGCGTGTGGGGGAAGTCATTGTGGCCCATTCTGGGGAGGATCTGTGTGCCAAGGATTGGGGTGGAGGCTGTCTGCCTGGCTCTTGCTGTCAGGACTGTTGTCTCTGCAGTTCACCGTTGGCAGCGATGAGGAGGAGTCCAGCAGTGCTCTGGCTCCCGCACAGTTCCGTGTGGAGGAGGAGTGTGGCATCCTGTCCCCCATGCCTCGCTTTGCTGACCTGCTGCAGGACAAGGGCCCTGCCTCTCTCCACAGGTAGGTGAGCGGTGCCAAGCTGCCTGCTGCTCTCCCCAGCTCAAGGTCACTGCACAGAGTCTGTCCCCAGGGGTACTGGCTGTGCTTAGCCCGAACTTGCCTTCTGAGTCAGAAGGGACATGGGCCCCAGAGGGAGAGTATCTGTGAGCAAGAGGGCTGCTCTCTGATGGGATGATGATTCCGTGGTACTCCTGCAACCTCCCTGGGTCCATGGGATCCCCATTGTGCAGGGTTATAGGCACTGGGCTGCACACCTGGATTAACCTTCCTCCCAGCTAACTAGTGCTGTCATGCTGGGCTGCAAGCTGGGAAGCCCCAGGAGGGGACCATGAGGCCATCAACTCAGGGGTAGGTTCCCGATACTGGGCACAAGCTGATCCCACTCTGTGGTGGGGAAGAGGAGGAGCAGAAGGAGCATCATTCAGGATTTGCAGGAGATGACTCCTTGCCCTGCTCCTTCTCAGGGACTTGCTGGTCAGGCCTGGGCCATTGGACCCCAACCCCTGAGGGCCACTGCCCATTCTCATTCACCCTACTTACTATTGTCAGTTTTTCTGGTTCCTACAGCCCCCCTGGGCCTCGAGAGCGTCTGTCACGTGGGTGGGAGAAGCGCAAGGCCTGGGGCCAGGTGGCGAGTGGGCAGCGGGTCACGTATGACTTGAAGGAGAGGATGTGCATCGGCAGCATGACCACCCTGGAGAGTGCAGCGTACCAGCGCGTCCCCACAGACGAGGCCGAGGCCCAGATGCTGGCATCTGCTGACTTGGATGGCATGAAAAGTGAGGCTTTTCAACACTACCTGCATGTGTCCCTTTGTCCTGTGCTTCTCTTGCTCTCCCCTAACAGCCACAGCACCTGCTCCTCACCTTCCTGTTCCCCAGATCCTTATTTTCCAGCAATGTCTCATCTCTGTCAGCTTTGCATTGTCCTCAGCACTGATCCTCATATTTTCAGCATCTCTACTCCCACCTACCCCATGGATGCCTGCTCCTCCACCCACTGCCCTGTCCTCTCCAGTTCAGGGTTCCCAGAATTTCCCTGGGACCCAGCTCTCTTCTTTCCTGACACACTTTCCTAGCGATCAGCCCTCTCTGTGACACACTGCAAGCTCTGGTATTGGAGAAAACCTGAGACGAGGAGCCTCCCCTCTCCTCTGCTCTCCTGGCAGAGGCAGCTGCCTCCTCTGGAGCGCCTCAGAGGGGGACTGCCCCTGTGCGTGGCAGGAGGACAGAGAGAAGAGACGTCATGGAAATGCACGCTCCGGCCCGAGGACATGGAGAATTCAATAGGTTGCTCTGCAGGCTGGAGAGGGAGGGAGACACCAGAGGGGAGTGAGGGAGAGAAGCAGTGCTGCACACACAGCCTGGCCATCCCCGGGCCACGGGTGCTGCATGCCCGGGCATCTGGCACAAGACCCCACGGAAAAGCGAGGACCCTGCTCTGGAGGAGCTGGTGGGGCAGCCTCTCACAGAAGCATCCCTGGGTGGAGCCAGTCTTCCTGGAGCCTCATCAGTCCTCGGGGCTGCTGCAGCCGGCACCTTCATGCCCCGTGAGCAGGGGAGCGAGGCACTGGGACCGGCCTCAGGGCTGTGGTGAAGCCCCCCGGGGGGGCAGCTTGCTTTCCACACGTCAGCCTGGCTATCCTGGCTCCTCACCTGAAGGCGTGTCGCTCATGACACCTGACCCCTGACCTTCACAAGGACAAAATGACAGCCCTTCAAGAGAGAGAGGAGCCAGCGAAGGAATCAGAAGGGGGCAGCAGCCCGGAGGTAGTGATAAGCACCTGTATTCGCAACTCACTCGGCTATGAAGACTTTGATGAGTTTGCCTTCAATTTTGAAGACTTTGATTTATGGGAGGCCATCAGAAACCATCTGGGCTACCCAGGCGGGGAGCCCACTTGTAAGTACTAGAGCAGTAACTCCATGGTTGCAGCTGTAGATCAGAGCCCCCAGCTGCAGTGCATAACCCCCTCCTGTTTTTGTTGTCTGTACCCTCTCTATGTCAGGTTAGTCTTCTGGTTTAGAGGAAGTACAGTCAGCCCCACTGTGTGTCTGGGGACACCAGAGGAGCTGCCTGATGTCTGTGTAGCAGTGTCTCTGTGAGGTCTTAGTACCGATCTGTGTTGTAGTGCTGAGGTGCTTTCCTGTGTGCCTCTTGCTCAAGCAGCTCCAGAGGCAGCTGCATCTTGCTGTTGGTGCTTATCAGGATGTGGCCCATGCCGTGGGCAGAGAAAAAGCAGCTGCTCTGAGACGTGTATAAGGACAAAGATATTTCCCCTTCCATTTGTAGCACAAGGTGACAGTGTGCTGCTGCTCTGTTGGAATTTGAGTCGAGGTGCGGATCTGACAGTGGAGGTGGATATCAAGTTCTCAGCTCTGCTCCATACCCTAATTGCCCAGAGAAAGAAAAATAACCTAGTCTTTGTATCTGCGTGCTTGAGCATGGCTGTGAAACTACCTGATGGCAGGCTCACTGGGATGTCTGGAAGGGGGGGAAAGAGGAAGGAAGAAAGCAAGAGTGGGAAAAGCAGAGAAGGAGAGGATAGGAATCATGAGAGTCAAGAATGTCTTCCTGTTCTCTGCATCTGTTTCTGTCACATCCCTTGCAGAGTGATCTCTGAACCATCTCGGAGACCAGGCAGAAAGCAGAGCCTCACTCCCATTTCTCACAGGGGTTCTTCCTTGGTACATGATGCTAAATGTGGCCCACCTTGGTAGTGACACTGTTCATAGCCATGGCTCATGGTTGTCCACATGTCCTCATCTGGATCATGTGTTAATTTTTCAAGGGATTTTAGGAGAGCACATGGGAGGCTGATGTCCCAGACCTAGCCCACTAAACAGCTTTACACTGAAGAGTGGGAAAGCAGTGATTTTAACAGGAGCTCAGGATGCCTCGGTTCGGCTTCTGCCTCTGCCACAGACTGTTTGATCTTGAGCAAAAGACTTAATTTGCCCTTCCTCCCAGTCCCAGCATCATGTTCTCTTTGTCATCTGTTCCATCTTTACAAGCCTTCAGGGAAAAAATGTCTGCCTATGTGCTTCTGCAGGGACCAGCAAGTGGGGATTAGCTTCTGGCTGTTACAGTAACAAGTCTGCTACTTGTTACTGTAAATTGATAGAGCATATAATAGTAGCAAAGTTCAAAATAGAAACCTGGAGCAAATTGATCCCATCAGCTGCCCAGGCTGAATGAACTGTAAATTAAAAGTGTGAAGAAATTGTTCCAGGTTCACCTTGGAAAACATGGCTATTCTTGAGAAGGTAGAAGGGGCAGATCACTCTGCAAGGTGTGATAATGCATCACGTACAAAGTGGGGAAATTTGGCTTTCTAGTAGTTAACACATTCATTGATTGCTACAGCTAATACTGCAGGTGCACTGTACAGTCAACTCTTAATTATTTCTGTATAATGAATCCACATTGTGAATTAATCCTGCAGAGAGGTATGGCAGAGTCAGACATGGCCGAGACACCAGAGTCTGTTTTGTGCAAAGCCAGTTCACTTTCAGCCAGTGCCGCTTGCCCCAGCCATTCATTCCATGGCAATGCCTCTTCCAAGACCGACTCAGATCCAGGAGGAATCCATTTGCTTTTGAACAGAATGGAGTCCTCGGTCTCCTTGCATTCTTTTAAGTGTTTGGAGCATGGGGAGTGCTGGACCTGGACACCTGGTTGGTAGCAGAGATAAGCCATCCCTATCACACTGAACTTAGCATCAACCGGGAGAGATGGGTTCTGTGCAGGACAGGGCAGTTGCTTTTGCCAGAAGCCAGCATAGGGCTATGTCTTACAGGGTGTTGATTAGCATTTCATTTAGTCTAGTTTTAAATATTTTAAGAACCTGAGTTTAAAATCTTTTTACATATTTCAAGAGTCTGAGTTTTAAGTCCCTTTTCTTGCTATAACTTAACCATTGGGGTATATGGGCAGTGTGCATTATCCCTGTGATGCCAGGATAGCAAGTTGTTTTCTAGTACTGATACAAATACTCTGATGCCTCTTTCTGGTCTTCCTTCATGTGGATTGAGGGAAATGAAAGGAGAGGAGCAGGAGCTATGGTGTAAATTGAAGGCAATTGCCTGCTAGCAAAGGCATTCTTGGGGAAGACTTTAACCAGTGCAGTCATATTTGTCATATTCATATTTAAGCTGGTGGAAAAGGAATTTGTTCATCTGAAGGAATCTGACTGTGGGAGCTAATGTGATGAGATTGTCTTCTGGAAGAGACTGTAAGAGATGCTGTGTGGGAGGGTAACATACCAGTTCATTGTAGTGGAGCTACCATATTGCTCTCTGTCCTCTGATGTTGTCACAGTCTTCACACTCAGATCCTGGGGAGCACTGAAGAGGAGCTACAGCAAGAACAGTACTCCCTGGGGAGTTTGGCTTCAAGCAAGGACAGACCTATGCCCTGAGCATATCACCCTTTGGTCTCAGTCTAAGATCCTGTCATGAATAAGGACCTCACATTTTGGTGCTCTATTGAGCTTGACTTTCATTGCGGAGAGCACCAATCTGACAGGACACAGAAAGGGTCTCCGTAGAGCAGCCTGGAGCACTTCAGCTGGGTTCTGTATGGGACTCCTAAACCCAGTAGTTCTCCTACATTAAGACCAGGTGCCCACCCTGCTCCTATGAGTTGTATCCTCCAGCTGGCATATCAATAACCACAAACACTGCTAAGGAAGAGCAGCAAAGCAGATCTCTCCTTAGTCTGCTGTAGGTAGGGCTCTGGAGATGTGCCTTCATCGATGCACTCTGATTCCTGTCGCTGGAGGTGCTGTCAGGAAACGTGGCTCCTTGCTTTTTATCTGTCCTCCAGCCATTTCTGGCTGTACACCTGTGGATGCTTTCTAGGGCTGTTGTTGAAGAGCACTGTGTAATAAGTTGTCATCGCTGTGAGGAAAGCTTGCTGAGCTGTCTTGCTGGGCAGAGTGTACTCTGCCCCCAGTTTTCCAGTGAGAAGGAGACTCAGTGTGCATAGGAGAATCAGAAGCTGCAGGGATTGGAGCAAAGGTGCCAGATACCAAGATCGTCTGCCTGGTGGACTGCTTTTTTATGCATGAGCTCATACTGAGTGTGCTGAAGTGGTTATTGTGCATGTAGGAACTGAGAAATCCGTGTGAAACTCCATGGAAGCCCCACACGTGCCTGGCTCCCAGAAACGTTCGTAGTGGTTATTGGGTAGTTATTGGCTCCTATTGACATTGCAGTGCAGTAAGTGGAGCAGGGAGGAGTCCCACCATCAGTAGGACGTGCATCAGCAGGGCAGCCAATGGGGGAAAATGCCCTGAGGCTCAGTATTGATTTATTTTATATTTAATTTAGCGACCCAGATTTCCAAGGTGCAAGGCCATGGTATGCCTGGCCTGATGCTGGGTGTGTCTCTCCATGCCAGAGGTGTACAGATATTTTTCTGCAATGTCAAAGAGACCATTCAGACTTAAAACCCTGTGCTTTTTACTGTCTCTCATACCCTGAAAGCTGCAGGTCTTGAAGCTAAGTTCAGAAAGATACGTGCAGACAGAACATTCACCCCAGACAATGGAGAGCTGCCCTTGCTCTGCCAGGGAGAAGACCATGGCATTGTCTTACAAGCATGACCAGCAAACCTCAGTGGACCAAAGCTGAGCAGAAACCCTGACTCCATAATCTAGTTGGGCAAGCCTGCCCATCCTGTAAGGAGGCTCTGAGGCTTTCTACATTCCTGTGGGTTCCTGTGGGTTGTCCATACTGAGAAAGATACACTTGCTGTCTCTGGGTAGTGTCCAGGGAAATTCTCCCTGGCAGACTGTTGCCCAGGTGCTATTTCTCTGGCATTGCAGAACATCTGGCATGGTTGTGGCTGCATTTTGGTGGGCACTGGCTAGCCAGCAGCACGGTGATGGGTCTGTAGAGCAGCCTTAACAGGCATTGTTAAGGCTTTTAAGGGAGGCTTTGCCTCAGCCAGACAGTCTCTAACAC